CCTTCCTTCCTCAGTTCCTTTCACAACTACGTAAGGCCAAATTTCCATAATTAGGCCCCTGTCCCATAGGTCTCATGGTGACTACGTTTCAGGACTATACTTTGACTGATGCACTAGACAAATATAAGTTTATAGAATGAAAAGTTTTTGTCTTTAAAAAATGTGTGTCCAGATACTTATTAAAGGAAAGAACACTTTAAAAATCTAGTATGAGCAGGACTTTTTTTTTTTTTTTTACTTTAAAGATGTGGGGTACAATTTAGGGTCAGATATACAAATGTTTACAATGCAGGTATCCTTGTTGATGAGCTGTGCCCCTCCTTCCCCCAGCAGTTTCCCTTGACTGCCAGTCCCACCCCTCCCTTTCCTAGCAGTTTCCCACCACCACCAATCCCTTTCCTACAGCACTACGATAATTATTAACATAACTTTCAAAGAATGAATTTAGAAATATGAGTTGCAAGGGAAAGAGGAGATGGAAAAAGGTAATATGATCTGTGGTCTCCTACATTTCCATGAAACATTGGGAATAAATAAGGAGTCAAATTTATTGCTATGTGAGGATTTAGATTATTTTTAATTAAAATATTCTCATTGGGAAGACATTACTTAATATACAACTTTATGAAAAATCAAATTGAAATCTGATTTGTTACAGTAAAGATATCAAAGGAATAAACTCCTGTGCCCCCCAAATTCCTGGTAGTATAAATAAGTATTCTTTATTAGGGAAGAGAGACTTCTTTAAACATACCTAGTGGTTCAGTCCATTCTATGCAAATATGAATATGTATATGCTATAACAATTGTTATACCCCCTTCCCAAACTAAGTTTTTGTATCGAGATTGTGTCACCCATCTCCAGTGATTCTGTAAGGGATTTGTCATAAAAACTAAACAAGGCTGAGATCCAGGTTCTTAAGAGTAGCTACTTCCCTGGGAACATAAGTACCAATGTGACTTTTCATAGCATGTTTTGGGCAGTGATAGCCAGTCTTTGCATTAATGTGGAAAGTAGTCCTTGATGGAGAACTAAGTATTTAATAAATGCTATGGACTCATCTTCTGCTCTCCCAGAAGCTCAAAGCACTTGGAATTTCTTCCACCTGCAGAAAGAAGCCTCCTGCTCTTGAGTGGCTGACCCATCATCATTTATTATAATGACCTCTCTTCTCAGTAGGAAAAGTTCTATTTCAATCTAATTATTCTATGATACGATTTAGAATCATTTTAATGACACATTCTCCAGTGTAAGAACCTCTCCTGGTTTCAGCATTGATATCCCAGAAGGAGCAGAGTCTCCTCAGCAGACACTCAGTCTAAATACGGTGTCTCTGCTTCTGAGCTGTTGCAGGGCAGGTGAGGTGGGACTTCTCAATTGCTCATACCATGAGGGCTCTGTTCTTTCTACTCTATCTAGTATCATATGCAAGACCCCTACTTCCTCCTGAGACACACTTCAGAAGAGAGTGCCAGCTGTTCTGGACCAAGATGAGACACCCTTCTATGTAAAGAATGAGTTAGCTGTGGAGGAAGAGTCAGTCACATACTTCTGTGCTGTCCTTGACAAGAACTGCTGAGGTAGCAGGAATACTGTCATTTGACTTCTATATAAGGCCACAGACAAGGATCACTATTTTTTTTCTTTTTCAAGACATTGCAAAACTAATTCACCACAAATATAAAATTTTCAGCTGCCAATGAGCCACAATCAATTCCAAACCTTGCTGAAAAAACTTGTGACAACACTATTCCTAATTAAACCAATTTTCTGCAAAGACGTGAAGTGTCATTCACATCCAATGATTCTACATGAGGCTTGTGGACTGTGCTTAAATTTGTGCATTGTGTATTTTGTCTTTTTGTTACCTAAATATGTGTGTGTATGAGAGGGAAAAAGAGAGAGAGAGTGAGTGAGTGAGTGAGTGTGTGTGTGTGTGTGTGTGTGTGTGTGTGTGTGTGTTTGTGTGTGTGTGTGTGTGTGTGTGTGTGTGTTTGGTAGAAAGAGTATATTACAACTCTACAGACTCCTGGACCTAGAAAGTCATCCTTGTTATATGTGACTCATGCATGGCTCCTCATTTTGCATACAGCTGCCCTTCCTAAAATCAACTCATAAATTTCCTACACACATATACTAACCTCCCAAATACATTTCCTGAATACTTGTGACTATAATTTGCCTGTGTGCTTTTGAACTTGCAGATACCTTTGCCTGGAATACCCTTTTCCTACATAGCCAATTAGCAAATCTTCCTTTATCTCTTAAGATCAAACTATAAATTTCCACTTTTGTGGGATCTTCCTTGCTCCACACTGCTAGCCTCCTTGGCAGAACTAATGGATCACCATTATCTTTTCCTCACTGAAGCACTCACGTCTCATGCCTGTTGTAAGTATGTAGTTATACATTAGTCTTTCTCTATAGACTAGCAGGTATTTAAGAATGAAGACTGTCTCACAATCACATTTGAAACCCTAAGCCAAGCACAGTACCAGGTACCTCATAAAAACTAAATAAATGTTGATTGAATATATAAATACATACATAAATCAGTAAAAATTTCTTTTTTTTCTTGAACAGACTTTGTTCTATCCTGAAGGTCTTTTGCAATTGCTGTTTCTTTTTATTTTATTATATGGATGTGGGATACAAGTCAGGAATAGCTACACAAGTAGGTTGCATACAGGTGAAGTTTGGGCCTCCAACTGGTCCTCACTCCACCTGGTTTAGGGCCAGGTACCCTTGTGTTGTTACATGCCCCTCCTCCCTCCCTCCCACCCTTGGCAGTGTACAGTGATTGCCTTGTGCTAATGCGATTAATGTTCAGGTCCCACTTATGAGTGAGAACATGGAGTATTCAGTTCTTTGTTTCTGTGATAGTTCACTAAGTATGATGGTCTCCAACTCTCTATCCAATTTTCTGTGAAGTCCATGATTTTGTTCTTCTTTATGGCTGTGTAATACTCCATCATGTATATGCAATACATTTTTTAAAATACAGTCCACTTTCCATGGGTAGCAGGACTGGTTCCATGTTTCTGCTGTTGTGAATAGAGCAGCTGTAAACACACACGTGCTTATTTGTAGAACGATTTATGTTCCTCCAACTATATTCCCAAGAGAGGGATAGCTGGATCATATGGAAGGTCAATTTTTAGTTCTTTTAGGAATCACCACACTGCTTTCCATAGAGGTTGAACTAGCTTACACTCCCACCAAAAGTGAAGAAACATTGTTTCTTTTGCTTAGATTTGTCACTGCTCCCCTTTTCTCCTTCCAATTCAAGATCTTTGAATGATTTCTTCTTTTCTTTCTTTCTTTTTTTTTTTTTTTGAGTTGGAGTCTCACTCTGTCGCCTAGACTGGAGGGCAGTGGCTGCTCCCGGCCACCACAGCCTCGACCTGCAGGGCTTCGGCAATCCTTCTGCCTCAGCCTTCCAAGTAGCTGGAACTACAGGCGCGCGCTACCACGCCCGGCTAATTTTTGATTTATTGTAGAGATGAGGTCTCGCTTCTTCTTATTCCGGTCTCCTGTCTCAGCTGCAGTGTCATCTTCACTTGTTTCAAAATGAGTGGTTAGTAACTTGACAAATATCACATGTGTCTCACTCCAGAATCCACGCCCTCCAGTCTCAGTGCTGCTTTGCTTAATAAGAAGTAGACATTTTAGTTAAATAAAATATAGTTTTGCTGGTATAATAGGATACTAGAGGCAGTTTTCCATCTGAAGTCTCGGAAAGGTCAACCAAAAAGAAAGAGAATACCTGGATCCCACAAGCCATCACTAGAGGTATCTTAAAGAAAGCTTTAAGACATGGCAAAATGAATGGAGGCTCATAGGGGAGCCACAAGCTTATAAAATGTCAAGTGAATGGGTTGAGTCTGAATTATATGAGTTTAAAATATGTAATATGCAACATGGACAATGTGTCGGATTTTCCTGAATTGGACAACTATTTTTAACAGGTTTAAAATATTAAAAAACTTAATATATTTTAATAGAGACACTGTGGCACCCCCAAAATATTTGTTTCTTTGTTATGCAAGTGAAAATTCAAAAATATTTATCACCACAATAAAATAAGCATCAGATATTATTTAATTATGTGATATCTGTGTCTTTGCTAAAAAATTTTTGGAATTTACTTCTAGCTACAAAAACTAGTTATGCTATTGATTTAGCATTAAAAGTACAATGGATTCTTCTTGCTTATTGGGTCATATAAAACCATAGAGAAATACAATACATGTGGACCAAGAATGAAAATAAACAAGTATGTTGCCTTTTTAGCATCTTATGGTAACTGTTAAAATTATGACCTCATATTGTCTATAGACCTTACAGCATTAGTCATTGTTTTTGTCATTTGAAAACACAGAACATACTAAATAATTTCATTAAAGTTCCATGAAAGATAATTCAGTTCAGAGGGTGATCTACTACAGAGGATAAATTTTGTTGCATTGATTTGTATTTTTAAGAAAGCCATCCATAATATAAATGTAATTTAATTTTTTTGTGCCACTTATTTAATCAGAGACAATATGAACTCATCTAAAGATCATGTTAGAGTTCAATTACATTAAAGACCAATCTACAAAACTTTCTCTGTGTTCTAAATCCGTAATCATTGTATTAAATAGAACATAATACCCAAATGTGTTCCCAATAAGCACCAATTCTTTTTATTGTGTTTAGGTGAAGTGTCGGCTTAATAATCCCTGTTGACAAAGTGCCAATCATTTGATTTAATATAATTCTCTATATTCTTGAAAAGCATTTCCTACTATTGCAAAATATATAGATATATATTTGCATACGTGTTGTCTGGAAGTCTTTCTCTCTCTTAAAATATCATATTTCAGCTTTTTTTTTAAATGAAGAAGGCATAGTAAATTTGTCTTTAGAAAACACAGAAATATATTTTCAGAAATGTTCTACATTTGGACTGAAGGGGGCAGTGCTTCCTTTCATAAAGACAAATAGCTAAAAGCAGGGCTGTTCATATGTGAAACAGAAGTGTCTGTGGAAGGAAATGAATGAAGTGTAAGAAGTTGAAGTCAGGTTTGCAATTGCCTGCGCAAGAGACAAGACAACCTGTGTCTTCGCAGGAAGAATGGTCATGCTCCTGGGGGCATCATTGCTGATTCTGTGGCTTCAGCCAGACTGTGAGTTGTGGATGAGAGATTTGAATAGAACAGAAAATCTGCAAAGAGCACTACAAGGATGAGATCATTGGAGAGTTTTTGTTTTGTTTTGTTTCTGAATCCTAGTGGCTTACTGTGGGGATGTTAAGAATAAAATTTACAAACTGTTCCTGTCTTTCCAAACAGGGGTAAATAGTCAACAGAAGAATGATGACCAGCAAGTTAAGCAAAATTCTCCATCCCTGAGTGTCCAAGAAGGAGGAACTTCTATTCTGAGCTGTGACTATAATAATAACCTGTTTGATTATTTTCTATGGTACAAAAGATACCCTGCTAAAGATCTCACGTTCCTGATATCTATCCTTTCAGTTGTGGATAAAAATGAAGATGGGAGATTCACAGTCTTCTTCAACAAAAGTGCCAAACACTTCTCTCTGCACATTGCGGACTCTCAGCTTGGAGACTCAGCCATGTACTTCTGTGCAGCAAATGCACAGTGCTCTCCAGGCACCTGCAGCCTGTACCCAAACCTGCTTTGGGGTCTCAGCCTTGGAGGCACACAGACTTGCTTCCATTTACACATGGCAATATGAGAGTGTGCTTTGAAGTAGGTGAGGCAAGTTGAGCGTAAAGCAAGACTGATACGTGACAAGCTTTACAAATAAGTTAGTAAATTTCCCTGAGCTTTAGAGTGTCAGACGGTCCAACCACTCTCCTTTTCTACTTTCAGAGAGAAGTTGCTGATTTAGCTAAAGCATCAATCTCTGGTGATGCTTTGTTCCCACTAGCTTCTGGAATGAGTGTGCTCTGTCTCCTTTGTCCATTAGGGGAAAAGAATGTGTGTTTGAAATGGGAAAATTAAGGTTCTCCAAGTTCTTCCAATGAAGAATATTTTCTGAGATGTTGTTTCTTTTGGGCTCCCTCAGCTTACAGGTATCTCTCCACAAAGAAATAAAGTGTGAATACTATCCTGTGTATATCTGCATATCTATAAATATTTCCAAATGTAATATAACCATCTGTATCTACATGAGGTTAAACATCAGTTCTCATCAATGTCTCCAACTCTAAATCATTGCCACATTGATTACACTAGCCTCCTCTCTTGCTTATTCATAAATTCGCACTAAAGGAATGAGAAACTGGCTCTCACAGTTAACAAAAATAATTATTCAATAAAACAATTATTCAATAATAATACTTAAAGCATGATAAGGCAGAATTTATTTAGGACCATTGTGATAGGTGTAGAGACTGCTGCAATGGGATTTTGCAGTGGGGGAAAGAGATTGGACTCAGCTCAGAACACAGCATGCCCAGGTGGAAGTATAGCCAAGAATTAGGGTAGGAATCAGTGGGTGAGAAATTTCTAAGAAGAAACACCAAGAGCAAGGCACATTCTCACTAAACCAGCCTAACAGGATGACAGGCAAGATGACAGGCAAGGTGATCGGACATCATCCACATGTGGGATGATAGAAGACGAGAAACCCAATTAGATATCAATTATGATCAGTTATGGTGGGGGTGAGGTTCTTGCTAAGCTGACTTAGCAGGGTTATTGTTAAGTAGATTTTACAAGGAAATGCATTGATGGGCTTAGAAGAAGATTCAGGAGTCTGATGAAAACTTGGCCAAGCAAATAATTTTTGTCATCATCACCCACCATTCATTTAAGTAATAGTTCAATTACAGTATACATGCATAATGGTATAAGTATTGTTAAATTGCACTCCCATGGAAAATAATTTTATCACTTAGAGTGCACTGCTGAATAATAGTAATAATGCCTAGATTATATTGAACTTCTATTATACCACCTGTTTTGCACGCATTACCTTAACTAATCCTCCCAATAACTCTTCAAGACAGCTGTTGGAATAACCCAAATTTCAGTAGAGAAAACAGGCTGTGGGAGTTCAATAGTTTCAATAATTTGCTCAGCATCACTAACTTTGTAAGAAAATAGAGTCAAGCTTATACGGCTTGAATGTAGGACCCACTGCCCAAATCATTAGCTATGCTGCCTCCCTTCTAAAGTCATTAACAAGTCATGCATTCTTTTGATAAACTGTCAATTCCCCCAACTCTTAGCACACATATCTTCATAATTGATGTAGAAAAGAGTCTGATTATCACTCACAGGCAATGCAAAGCTGAAATTATGCTTTTATGTATGTATATCATATTTGTAGATAAATGGTTGGAACTTGTCCCTCATGGGCTGACTTTCTAAAGCTGAAGGGCTTCACAGTGAGATGTAGAAATGCAGGTTGCTTCACAAGAAGCACAGGGAAGCCTGAAAATCTCATCACTTGTGGTTTTATCTGAACAGTGACTTCAAGAGATGCTGAAGACATTTCTGAACAGAATAGGGGTAATATATAGCTTTATTAACTTGATTAACTTGGTTCATAGGGATCCTTGTGGGGATGGTATAACTATAAGGTAAAATCTATAGACTGATCAGTTCTCTCATATTTGATGCTACCTTTCTGAATATGGATGTGAAGCCAACTCAATGTGGATTAGATTACTTACTCTTCCATAACCAGGAGCACCAGCCTCACATGCTGCATTTTTTTCCACCCTTTTTATGGCCTACATTGGCATAGGCAGAAAAAGATTCAAGACCCATTTAGTGATATGTTGGGAACCAGTAAATGAGAATGAAAAAGAGGAAAGAATATTAAAGAATATTAAGCATCACTCTTCATACTTAGGATGGGTTTGGTTCTGCATATTTCAGGCTCCCAATCCAGGGTTTCAGCTACTCTGAGTAGACATGCTGCTATGGATACGCATTGCTCACAGCCATCCAGAGCCTGGTCCCAAACTAAAAGCTGCAGTCACAGACCCCAGCAAAAGTGCAGAGACACATGACAGTTGTTGCTGTCTTCTAGCAGGGTGTGTAGAAAAGCAGCTTTGATGACTCACTTCATTTTAACTTCAAAAATATGGAAATACGGACTTCTGCACTAGACAGGGGTCCAGTCTCTTTCTTCCTCTCTCCCTCTCTCCCTCTCTCTCTCTCTCTCTCTTTCTCTCTTTCTCTCTTTCTTCTTCCCCCCAATTGCCAATGCCTTCGCCACCTTTGGGGTACCCTGAACCCAGCTGGGCTGGACTCCAGCAACAGCACCTACCTTTGAGAACTTACTGGCACCCTGGGCCCTGCCACGGGACTGTTAGGACTCACTGGTTCCTCCTATTCCCTTTAAAACTGTCCCCCCCCCCCAAAAAATGGAAATGCTGGTGAATAATGAGTCTAGTTATATCCCTGCTCTTAACAAAACTATTTCAAATACCCAAAGACAATAAATTAGCTTTTCTTATTTTCAAATATATTTAACATGATTTATAAGTTATTCAAACCCAGTAATAAAGATCTGCTACAATGGACATTTTTCACTGTATTTGCTGTTATACTTACCCCAGTTCACATCTTTGTATGCTGGGAAGGAATATATCAATGCCTTCTCTATTCATTTAAGGAAACACAGAGTCATACCAGGAAAAGGAGTTTACATCCACTCTCATTCCTATTATTTTTATGCAAGCTTTTCACACGGCTTCAACTTCCACATTTCATCAACTCCCACAGTTATTTATTTATATTATTTTCTTACAGAGTATGTTCGGGAGACCGCATTGGTAAAAAGTTACTTTCTAGCATTTGTGTAGTCATGAGTGTGCTCTGTCATCTTGAGCAAGTGAATCAACTTCTTCTTAACATCTTATGTCAGGATCTTCATCTGTAAGGATAATAATTCCCAGCTAACATTGCTCTCAAATATCTACTAAATTCTACCTACATGTTACATGCTGGGAGAGAAGAGCTATGAAAAAATACATAGTGGTTTTTTTTTCACTACATTTGTAGTCTAGTTAGTAATATAGGCAGCTGATCAGACATAATAAAGAGATAGAGCCAAGTCTGGGAAAGCAATGTGTGGTATGAAGTCATATAGAGAGCTCTACCCCCACCCAGCTTTAAAGGTGAGTCAGAGGCCTGGCTCCGTGGCTCAATCTGTAATCCCGTGCTTTGGGAGGCCGAGGTGAGTGAATTGCCTGAGCCCGTAGGTTCGAGACCCACCTGGGCAACTTGACGAGACCTCATCTCTACAATAAATCAAAGAATTAGCCGGGCATGGTAGCACGTGCCTGTAGTTCCAGCTACTTGGAAGGCTGAGGCGGAAGGATCACCGGAGCCCAGCAGGTCGAGGCTGCGGTGGCCGGGAGCGACCACTGCACTCCAGTCTGGGCGACAGAGTGAGACTTCAACTCAAAAAAAAAAAAAAGGTGAGTCAGAGACAACCTGGACTATGTGACGCCTATGCTGAGATCTGAAAATAATTTAGTGGGAGTCAATCAGGTTGAAAGTCAGAGGAGGTGGAACAGGTGACCTTAAAGACAGAAACAGCACTTATAATGCAGCAGAAAACATAGTGAATCTGAGGACTGAAAGCCAGTTATGCTATGAAAACATATAGCTAAATACGTCACAGAATTTTCAAACCATCCCTGCAAAGTAGTCATATCTCAAGTTTCAATTGTATGAATGAGCAGCCATAATATTTGTGAATTTACTAAATATGCTCTCTATTTACTTGAGATTGCATTTAATACGTTTATTCATTTGACACTTAATATGTGTCTTGGACTTAAAAACAAGAGATGCAGCTGGGCAGAATAAGATATTATTTTTGCCTTCAGGGAGCATGTAATATTTTAGAGTATATTACAATATAGTATAATAAAATCTATCACGGGAGAAGAGTAGAATATGACCACCTAACAGTGACATTTAAATTGGAAACAGAATATAAGGGAAAGCCACCTAGGGGAAGTGTTATCTAGGTTAGAATCTGAAAAAAGCCAAAAATTGAGTAGGAGTAAGGGTATTATAGAAAAAGAGAAATAGAATGTACAAAGACATGAAGATAAAATTTAGTTTAGGAGAATGACATTAAACTAATTCAGAATGGCTGATGCAAACAACTCAAAATGGGTGACAGCAAATATAAAACTAAAGCACTAAGCAGAAACCATTTTGTGAAAATAATTAAAAGCCATTATAAGATGCTTGTACATTATCTTGAAGACAATGATGAGCACTGAAAAAAATCTGTATAGCAAATGGTATAATGAAATGTCACTATTTGAAAGATTGTCCTGATTTCATATATGCACATATATTTTTATATAATTATATATGTACTTATTGCTATATAACTGTATATATATATGTGTGTTTGTGTGTGTGTGTGTATATATTACATTTTCCCCTGCTATTTCTTTTTTTCACTTATTTAATCCTGGAGTAATTATTTCTCTAGCACAATATATTGATAAAATCTCCCTTATAGCAAGAAAAATACATCTTGGACGCAAAATTACTCAAGAAAAGCCAAAATTCACATAATAATCAACATTTCTCAGTTTGGCCACAGGGGAGCACTGTTTAAAAAGTATTTTAGAGCCGGGCTCGGTGGCTCAGCCTGTAATCCCACGCCTTTGGGAGGCTGAGGTGAGTGGATTGCCTGAGCCCGCAGGTTCAAGACCCGCCTGGGCAGCGAGACCTCATCTCTACAAT